TTAAAGCAATTTCTCCCAACTACATTGGCTTGCCTATTTTAAATACTGAACTCTATTGTTTGCATGATTTTTCTTATATTTAAGACTGTAAAAAAGATCAGCAAAAATGTCATGAATCACAAAATATCTACAGTTGATACAGTGCTAGATCCCATGAGCAACTTAAACATTCCATGTATAAAACATTGTCATTGCTTTGGGAAATTTCTTATTGGGGACTATCATGTGTCATTGTGACTCTGTGAGTTTCATCCTGTAGAGATGCAAATGATAAGTCACACACAGTCTCAGTGCCCATATTTCTCCTAGATGGATATTTTGACTTCTTGCAAAGACATGCATGTGTACAGAATGACAAAGGTATCAGAGCTTTCAAAAGCACAGCTCAGTAGAATGTTATGAAGAGAACACAACTCTATGTAACTGATCAAGAAATGGAATATTGTCATTTAACTATAGATTTCTTCTGTCTCTTCTACCTTTTAGGTATATTTCTTTTGAATATATTAATAGGAGTGGAACATTTAAATATACACTTATATCATTGTCACTATTTAAGAAACTATATCCATATTGCCTTATTGGAACTTCATATAAATGGACTTAGTAAGTTCTTTCATATTTGTCGTCTATATGCATTTTATGAGAGTTGTGGGAAATGCGTTTTTATTATTTAGTATTATTGATGGCATCAATTACCAAAGCTTTATTATGCTCTATTGCATGAATAACTATCTGAAGTTTTCAACTGTTACTGTGTATGAGAGTGATTTTGAGTTTGGGACTATAGTAAGTAATGAATAGAGCTATTATATAGAGAGTGTAACTTGTTCTGTGAAACATGCATGGTTTGTTTTGAGTGATCTCATGGCAATGAAAATGCTACAACAAAATTTTTATTAGTACATGTTTGTTATATGATTATTATGTTTATTATTATTATGTTTATTATCCTATATATTTATTAGTACATGTTTGTTACATGTATATGGAAAAATTTAGTGTATGAAACTTGTACATGTGTGTAAAACATCTTAATTCAATTTGCATGGCTTTTCCTACTGAGAAAATATGAAAAAGAGAGAGACAGAGACAGAGGGACAGAAAGAAATAGAGGCCTAAGAATTTTGAGAAATGACTCAATATGTATAAAGAATTTATCCACTGAGATCATAGCATACATTTTCCAATGCTTGGGAAATCATTCAATATTGAAGTACAAGAGACATCTAATTTAGTACATGGTGATAGACATGGGTCTAGCTTTAGTTTTTGGCAAATGGAGAGCCAGTTTTTCCAGCACCACTTATTAAAGAGACTGTCGTTCTTCCAATGAACCTGCTTGGTTCCTTTATCAAAGATAAGGTGGTTGAGTGTGTTTGTAGTTGTGGTTGTATCTTCTAATCTATTCCATTGATCTTCGGCTCTGTTTTGATTCCAATACCATGTTGATTTTACTACTGTTGCTTTGTAGTATAACTTCTACCCTTACACTACTTTGTTTTGTTTTGTGTTTTTCTCTTTTTCCTTTTAAATAAAATTTTAAAAAAAGAGACATCTAAAACTCCAAATACTCATAACCAGACAAAGACCTTTCAATGACAAATAGTAATTGAAATTCCAGAAATTCTACAATAAAAGAAGATAATAAAAACTATTAGAGAAGAACAAAAAGGGACATATAAGTTCGACATATCAGAATTATGCACATTTCTCAGAATTAGCTTTAAAGGCTAAATGAGCTTCGGGAATGTTTATCAAGCAATTAAAAAAAGAATTGTACTTCCATACTATGCAAAATTAGCCTTCACAATGGCAGAATAGTGAGGACTTTTCATAACAAAGAAATTCTTTAGAAATACATGAGCACTAAACCAGCATTATAGAAGTATTTAAGGGAAATGTATACAGAATGACAGAGGCTAACACTATCAAAAAAATTCAAAGAAAATATACATCTACCATAGAGAATTGTTGAACAAACAAAATATCAGTTCCATATAAACAAAATGTTATGAATATATTTAGCAAATGGCTCATAATAATAACTTTCAATGTCCATAGTCTTAACTAGGAAATCAAAAGATATAGAATGGCATATTGATTCAAAAAACACCATCCATATACTGTCTACAACAGACAAACTTCATTAAAATGAATAATTAAAGGATGGAAATCAGTGTAACCAGATACCCAAAACAAAATAAGGTGGGTTTCTTCTTTTCAGAGACACCATATTCAATCTAAAACTGACCAGAAGAGACAAAGGTGGCCATTGCATATGGATAAACAAAACAACTGAACAGGAAGTGAACAATTATAAATCGCAAATGCATAGACTTTTGGCAAAGCTTCAAAAAAGAAAAACTGTTGGGCACAAAAACACAGATAAACATGAACACATTCTTGGTGAAGAACCTCAATACCCCATTCTTATGAGCAAAATGTATTTAAAGATATCCATACAATGTTTCATACAAAAATATAATGTACATTTTTCTCAACCACACACAGAAATTTTTCCAAAATAGACCATGTCTTCAGTAATGTAGAATGCTTAAATAAATACAGAAATTGAAATAAACTCTTGAATGTTACTGGAACATAAAAAATGAAGCTAGAAATCAATACCCAAATCAAGTACAGAAATTGTACAAGCATATGAAAATTTAAGACTATATTATTCAATAACCAATGGATCACAGAAGAATCTAAAATGTTCTTACAATCAATGTACAATGGGTATATAATAATATGAAAACTTATGGGATGTCACAAAAGCAGTTCTAAGAAGGAAGTTTACAGTTCTGAATGCACACAGTAAGAGAATACTAAGGTCATGCAAATTATCAAAAGATACACCTAATTCAAAATTATGAGAAGAAACGATTATCAAGATTAGAATGGAAAGTAATGGAATTCAGAATTTAAAAAACATTAGAAAGAGTAAATGAATGCTCAATGCTTGATTTGGTTCTTTGATGAACAAAATTGAACAAAGAAGATATGAAAATCCTAGAGACCAATAAGAGACAATAAAACAGAGACAGCAATAAAAACTATGAAATAAAAAATTCTTTGAACTTAATGGATTCACCATAGAAGTTTACCAGAATTTCAAGGAAATCTAACATGAATGCAACTCAGTATCTTCCATGAAACTGAAAATAGCACCGCAAAATTCATTCTGGAATCCAGCATTACCTTGATACAGAAACCAGACAAACCTTTTTTTAACAAAAATTCCTCAATTAGCATAGATGCAATATCCTAAAATGATACATGAATAAGTGTACTTCAAAAAATTATTAATAAGTTCATATATCATAACCAAAGTGGCTCATCCTTGAGATGAAAGAATGGACCAATATACATAAATTAATAAATGCAGTACAACACATAAACAGTAAGGAAAAATAAAATCTAATGTTCCTCTCAATAAGTGCAGAAAAGACTGACTCAATCCAATATCCATTCATAATAAAAACCTTAATGCAAATTAGATATCAAATAACCTTATCTAAAATCAATAAAAATTATGTCAGCCCACTGATAGCATCATTATAAATGGGGAAAAATGAAGGCATTTTCTCTAAAATCTGGAATTTAAAAAGTGCATTTTTAACTGCTCCTATTTAATATAGTATTCAAACTTTTAATCAGAGAAATCAGGCAACAGAAAGAAATAAATAGGATATGAATATGAAAGGAAGAAATCAAATCACCCATATTTGTAGGTAACATTATCCTTTATAATCAAGATTCTAAAAACACCATAAGACACTTACAACTGATAAACAGTTGCAGCAAAGTAGCAGGATACAAAAAAATACACAAAATGTAAATGTATTCTATATTTCAACAATGAACCTACTGAGAAAGAAATCAAGAAAAAAATCCCACTAGTAGTAGCTTGTAATGACACTGAACCTAGAAATGTAGCATAAACATGGAACTGAAATATTTCTAAAATGAAAACTATTGCCCTTTGAAAAAAAGAGACTGAAGAGGAAATTAAAGTTACATTTCACAGCTTAAATTGATTCTACCAAAAAAGCTCTCTAAAACAACTGTACCCATTTTCCATGGACAAGTTTTTGGATTCTCCATGTTTTCACCAAACTTGCTGTTTCCTGTCACTTGCAACATAGCCTTCTGGATGCTCTTTGATGATATTACCAGAAGTTTTATTCAAATTTTTCTGTTTAAAAGCAAGATTAAAGGGCTGGGGATTTAGCTCAGTGGCATAAGTGCCTGCCTTGCAAGCGCGTGGTCGTGAGTTCGATCCCTGGTACTGGTAAAAAAATAAATAAATAATTAACAGCATTGAATATTTGAATGTACTTATCAATTTGATAACTTCATTTTTTAAATTTCAACTTCAACATTTCTCATTTTTAATTCTCTTATGTAACGTATAAGAGCTCTACATGATGAACGTGCTTCTCTCTATCTCTTCCATTTCTCCGTGTATGTCTTTCTCCTTTTGTCTTTCATTTCTCTCGAAATATAACTATGCAAGCTTTTAATGAAAATAATTCCTAATTTTAATATAATTTGTCATTTTGTCATAAGTTTAATGTTTTATAAACAGTAATTTTTTTCTTAGACCACAGAGATTATTTTTGATATTGAATGTGATTGTTATTAAACTTAGAGATGAAATTCATTCATAATTGATTAATAGTATGAGGTCAATAATTATTGTGGCTTTTCTTTTAATAATATTACTATTATACACTTCAGGTTTTACTGAAAATATTGTGTTTTCTTTCTGTCTTTTCTCACTTGTCACTTCTGCCCAGGTTCACACCATCTCATCCATACTGATGAATTACACTGAAATAGCCTGAGAATCCTCTTCAGCTCCTCTTGTATCATGAAACCTTTGCAATTCCATAAGAACTTATCTTCAAAATTATTTTTGGTGCTGAATTTCTACAACACATCTTGCTCAGAAAAATAGTTGTCACAATAATTTAAAGGAAACTTTAGAAAAAATGACACACATAGAACCCGTCAATTTGGTAATAGGAATGATCTTATTTTCACAGATCACGGTTGGAGTCATGGGAAATTTTTTCCTTCTTTACCATTATATTTTCATTTACCACACTAAAAGCAAGTTGAGATGCATAGATTTGATACTCAAGCACATTCTCATAGCCAATTCCTTATTTATTCTTTCTAAAGGACTGCCTCAGACAATGGTAGCATTTGGACTAAAAAATTCTCTCAGTGATTTTGTCTGCAAATTTTTCTTTTATGTTGAGAGAGTGGGCAGGGGTGTGTCAATTGGAACCATCTGCCTCTTGAGTATCTTCCAGAGGATCACAATCAGCCCCATGAACTCCTGCTGGAAAGACCTTAAAATAAAAGCACCAAAGTGTATCGGATTTTCCATTTACCTCTGCTGGTTTGTGCACATGGTGGTAAATTTCATTTTTCCTCTTTATCTGTTGTATATGTCTGGAAGATGGTCTAGCAGAAATATCACAAAGGAAAGAAAAATAATATTCTGTACTTACACAGATCCTGGGACAATCCTGGGCTCAATCTATATAGCGTTAGTAGTATTCCCTGAAGTTGCTTGTTCTGTGCTCATGATCTGTGCAAGCAGTTCCATGGTTTTTAATCTGTACCAACACAAGAAGAAGGTTCAACACATTCACAGGACAAATGTCTTCTCTAGATCCCCTGAGTCCAGAGCCACCAAAAGCATCCTCTTTCTGGTGGGCACTTTTGTATCATTTTACAGCCTGTCCTCCCTTTTTAACATTTCTATTGCTCTTTTTCCTGAGGTATATAGGAGGCTGGTGAGTATTTCTGAGATAATTTCTGTGTGTTTTCCAACTATGAGCCCATTTCTGCTGATGAGCCAGGACTCTTCTATACTCAGGCCCTGCTTTGTTATGTTAAGGAACGCTCTCCCCACTTATAAGAAATAAATAAATTGTGTTTTGGGGTTAGTACTTTCTACATTCATTTCTTATGTCTAACAGGCAACACAGAGAAGCAAGGAGAAGTTTCATATCTCTCTGAGGTAAACTGACAGGTGTTTTTATTTTAATTTTATTTAAAAGGAAAAAGAAAAAACAAAACAAAACAAAACAGTGTAAGGGTACAAGTAATACAGAACTACAAAAAAAAAAAAACAGTAATAAATCACCGGTTAATAGATTACATATTATCATCTTAGAGATAGTTGCTCAAATCACAGTATCACAGCATACAAAGTGGACACTCAGGTGTTTTGGGTCACAGAATGTAGGGCTTGTGTGGGATAAAAGAGGTGGATAAATGCGATTGGTCCAACTCAGGTGCACTGTCCTATTCATATCACTGTGAACTGAGTGTTGCTTTAGAAAAATGTGAATTTTGTCCTGGAAATTATGTTGGTAATCAAAATATTTTGCAGAAATCCTTGTTGAAGGAAGCATTTTATGAGTAAATACAATGAAGGAATAGGTGCTGAACACAGTTTTGTAATAATTCTCTCTCAGTTCTCTGTGTCTTCTGGGAAGATTTACATGCTGTTTTTACAATGTACCTTATTTTTATGGTTGTTTACAGAAATAAAGACAGTTGGATATTATAACAAGTGTCAATATCCAGCACAAAATTCATATTTGCTTACTCAATAGGTAATTAAGACCACAGAAGTGTAAGAGAAGCACCCAATAGGAGAAGAGTATTGGTTGTCCATGGAAAATGTTATGCCTCAGAAATTTTCAGGCCCTCATCCAACCTCAATAGATTTCCTAAAATTGAGCAAGAAAACCTTCAAAGTTTAAGTTAGAGGATATATGATGTAAGGGCCAAAGTAATCATGTCATATTCCTGCTACTACTGCTGATTTTTGATGTTTTGGATAACTCATTTCTTTTACAATATCTTGATCATAATGATATGGATAATTCTATTTGTAGTTTTTTCCCACCCCAGTGATCTTTTCCTGGTTATCACTCCCTTTAGCATTTTGCTACCTAGCGAGTAGTCTGCACTTGTTAGACATGTGACATCATCTGAGTGCTGTGTGCCTAGGAGAGAACAAAAGGAGCACATAGGTGTATCTGGGTCACTGTGCTCCAAAGCTTTAGGCTTCAAAGTTACAGAATAAGAATGTGTTGATACTGAATAGATGGATTGATCTGAATATTGTAGGGCAACATCAATACCAGAAATTGAAAAGGAGGCAGTTTTCTAAAATAATTTCTAGAAGCCCAAGAAGAAAGAAATCAAAAAAGAAAACTATAGGCCAATCTCCCTAATGAACTTTGATGCAAAAATCCTTAATAAGATGCCAACCACAGAATGTAGCTAATCATCAAGAAGATTATACCATGATCAAGTAGGATTCATCACAGGAATGCAAGGATGGGTCAGCATACAAAAATCAATAAACGTAATATGCCATTAATGAAGCAATGTCCAACACCCATTCATGATTAAAAAAAATCCTGAAGAAAATTGAAATGGATATCTTTACCTCAATCTTATAAAAACCACATATGAAAAACCAACATAGAATCATATTAAATGTTCAAAAACTGAAAGCTTTTTCTCTAAGATCAAGAACAACAAGAGGATGTCTATTTCACTACTTCTATTCCATATTGTTTTGGAAATATTAGACAGAATAAATAAACAAGAGAAACAAATAAAAGGACTAAAAATAGGAAAGGGAGAATTAAAATTTTCATTATCTGCAGATAACATGATACTCTACATAGTAGACACCAAAACTCCACAAAAGACTCTTGTGGATTCAATATGCAGATTTAGTAATGTAGCAGAATATAAAGTCAATACTCAAAAATCAATAACATTCCTGTACACAGTAACAATTCATAGAGTCAGATTAAAGAAACCACATCCTTCACAACAGTACCCAAACAAATGAAATAGTTAAGAGTCAATCTAACAAAGGAGGTAAAAGATCTATACAATGAAATTTGTAATACTCTAAAAAAAGATCATTAAAAAGGATATCAGGAAATTGAAGATATTCCTTTCTCTTGGATAGGAAGAACTGACATAAAGAAAATTGCCATATTCCCCAAACTGCTATACAAATGTAATGCAATCTCAATCAAAATACCACTAGCATACCTTCTGGATCTACAGAATATATTCTTAAAATTCATTTGCCTCCAGAAGAGACCTAGAAGAGCACAAGCACTTATGGGCAACAAAGGCAAGGCAGGGGGCATCACAATTCTAGAAATGAAATTCTACTACAAAGCTTCTGTGATAAAAACACATTATTGGCAAAAAGCAGGCATAAGGATGAGTGGAATGGGAGTAGAAAATGGAGATGCAATCCTAACTTGCCTTTTCCACCCATTTTTTGTTTTAAAGAGAATAAAACAAAACAAAGCAGAGCAGAATAAAGCAGATCCGAACAAAACAATGTAAGCAATACAGGGTTTCAAAACAAGACAACAGGAAATCAACTGTTACTATCATAATGTCTCTTGTTTTCTTAAAAATACTTGTCCATGTCTCCACACACAATGAATTAAACAAAACATAAAAGAGTCAAACAGATTTTCAGAAGAAACAGGGCCTTTTGACTAATGGTTCTGGAAAAAATGGCTTAGCACATGGCCAGTGTTGATGGGAGTGCAAACTCATGCAACCACTGGGGAAATCAGTGTGGAGATTCCTCAATAAGCTAGAATTAGAGATCTCGCTCAGTTCAGCTATCCTACTTCTGAGTATCTTTCCAGAATAATTAAAAGCCTCACACCACAGTGCCATATGCACAACCCACATTTATAGCAGCATAATTTGGAAACAACCAAAATATCCTTCATCTGAGCAATGGATAAAAAGATGTGATATTTAAAAATATAATGAAGTACGACTTGGCCATAATGAAGGGTAAACTGGAGATTTATACATAAATGGATATAACTCGAGACCGCACTCATAAATGAAACAAGTCAGACCCATATGCATAAAATGAATAAGTAAATAAGATCCAAAATGTGGATATTATGATTTGGGAAGAAACTCTCCAAAATAAAAGACAAACTGATGAGAGAAAGGGTAAAAAAAAGGAAAGGAAAAAGGAAAATATATTTATATACAAGACAGTTAAGATACTTATACAGGTAGGTTCTTTTAGCTCACTGAAAGAAAGTTTTATGCTCATATTGTTTGGACAGAATATTATGAGTATAGCTTATATTCTGAATATTATGAAGACAACAATAAGCAATATATTAATTATTATAACTCTCCTAGTAATCAGTATTGAAACTGTTTTATTGTTATTTTTATTTATTTCTCCTTAAAGTAAAGGTACATAAATGTGCTACAGATATATAACTCTATGCTTAACATTATTAATGATGTGAAAAATATAAAGTAACTATCACAAAAGATGATTTTGTGGCTATTGAATGTGTGGAATGTGTTCAGTGAGGATGTGATATGAGCAATACTAATGATCTTATTGAGGAATAACAAACATGGTTGCAATACTGTAGACAAAGTAGAACTTTGTGTAGTGTTGTAAGGAATAAAAAACACTCTAGGTTTGGTGGGGAAAAGAATATGAAGTTTTCATCAAGAGAGTCCTCCTCCCTGGTCCAGCAATCCCTCTGGCTGTTTATACAAATCAATTGAAATCAGGATGTCTGAGAAAATAGAACTTCCATGTCTACTGCAGCACTAATCACAAGAGCTAAGATGAGGAAGCATCATATCTTCCCACTAAAGGATGAATGGATAAAGAAAATGTGCAGGGTACACACAATGATATAGTATTCAGACTTAAAAAAAGAAAAGAAAAAAGAAGGGAATTCTGAAATAGGCAACAGTGTGATTAGGCTTAAAAATATTATGTTAAGGGAAATCACACAATTAAAGAACAAAGATTTTATTAACTTACTTGTATGTGAAACCTAAATGGCACACAGTGTCAAATGCTGGTCATCAGGGAGTGGTGGAGAGGACAACAGAGAGTTGCTAAGTAACAAACATCAATTCCCAGGTGAGTAAGATGAAAAGGTGCTGGAGCTCTTTTCTACAACATTACATGTATAGTTAAAAGTTTTTTATTCAAATAGTTAAGGGGATAGATCTTATGAAACACTTTCTTATAATAAAATCACTGCAGAGACTGGGGTTGTAGATCGGTGGTAGAGTACTTGTCTACATATGGGAGTCCCTGGAATTCTCATGAAGAAAATAATCTGTAATATTTACCTATTTTTTTCACTGCTGGACTCAATCTGTTACCGGCAAATGCTCTTCCACTAAGCCATATTCTTTCTTTTTTTTTTAATGGAGAAGGATTTATTTAGTTCACAGCTTGTACAGATTTTAGCCATTGTCAGCTGGTTCCAAGGCAGGATGGCCCATGGTACAGGGGCAACAGTTAATGGCAGCAGAAGACAGCAAAGGAACAAGAGAGAGAAAACCACTTCTTGTCCCTCAGATTGTATCCAGTCTACTGGGGTTAGAGCGGTGCTAATCCAGTCATTGGATGGGTCCAGAAATTACCATCTTTAATCTCAGCATTACACTCAGAATCAATAACACACTGAAGATTCAGCCACCTTCACGAAAGTGCCTTTGACCACATAAGGCTTTCAGGGAGCATCTAGACACAAATCATGACATTCCACCCTTAGTCCCACAAACACTCATGTACATCCTCTTATGCAGAAGGCATTTAGTTCCTTTCCAAGATTTCCAAAGCCCTAACAGTTTCAGCCTTGCTAAAAAGTCCATATCCCAAGTCTCCTCTGACATGTAAAGCAAACTTGTAGCTGCAAGTCCCCGTACAAATGAAAAGAAAAGTAAGCACTTCCAACATTCAAGGGCAAAAGGTAGACAATTTCATTCCAAAAATTAAAAACAGGAGGAATGGGACCAAGCAATTTTAAAATCTAGCAGTGAAAACAAGTCTTGTAACTCCATGAGAAATGTCCAA